CTTTCTTTCTTCGTTGCTCCATAAATCCACTCGTATATAAATCTCAATCTTATTAGGATTAGGGGTAGTCTGAAGTTACGTGAAATGCCCCTCCTTATAATAGCGAAAACAACAAGACTTGGCGAGGCTGACGAGTTGCATAGTGTCTACTTCAGCAATTTCCTTCGCTTGGAACTGAAGGCGAAGTACCCTCTTCTGCAGGGTTTTCGTTACAAGAACAGAAATTAGTACGGCACTCGCTTACAGCTACCTTACTGTTAAGAACAATGGAGTGGGCACCGAATTGCGTTGATAGCATACGCCCTTTCACGGTACAACCTTATTTGATTACATAAATTTTCAACCCATCACATATACGACGCATTGAAAAGAGACCTCGGCAAGGAGAACCGGCGAACGGACAGTGAAGGATGGCGTTGCGTCGTGACCACCCGTTCGAGCTGGGACCCAATACTGAGCTACTGTAGGGAACGGGTGGGGTGCAGGGTACTTGTTCGTGTGTGTTTGCCGATCCTGTAGTCTGTATTAGGCTCCCCGAGCATCAATGTCCTCTTTTTATGTTGTGTTATGATTATGAACTTCTGTTGCACTTTCGATAGACTCTCTATTCTCCTTCACTCATTTGTCACCCACGTGACAGAAGATTTGGGTTGATCGAGTATCGCAGCTCCCTATTCTCCAAAATTTATTGTTGCGCTCACATGGGAGATATTTGTTGCCTTCTGATGGGGCACTTACTTCTCTACTCATTGCCCATTACCTTTTTTTATAGGGTTTCAAGCAGGAAATGTTACACTGTTTAAGGGCGTTTTTTCAGATTTGTCATCAAATTTGAAGCGCTGTTTAGAACTAGAACATATCCACATACGCTCGACTTCAGTTTCTTCTATCAGGGCATTAGTCATCGAAGTTGTGCTGAAGTACATTCAACCAGTTTTCAAGAAGGCTGGCCTCTTTGTTGTGACTATTTATTAATAATCTGTTCTGCCATTCTTGAGCTTCTCTTTCCCTTTCTTTTGGTGCTCATCTAGACATCCATCCTTTTATGGGAATGCTTCATGGTCTGCATGGCACGATCTGTTCACTAAATGATCAATAAAATCTCATGCTAAATTGAATCATTCGAAGGGAATAAAACCTAAACAGCTGATATCTACAGCTTACTAGAATTTTGAGCTGTATACGAATGCCACTTCTCAAAAGCACATACTGTTCTGCTAACTCATGTGACGAACCTTCTTGAGCCAGACTTCAATACAGTTGAAAATTTCGATTTAAGGATCATTGGGAAAGGCTTGCCAGCAGAGTGAGCAGAGAACGAATTTTCCGAAAGGTGAACTAATCGATGGATTTTTAGGGTGAAAGTGCACATTAATGGTGCCACTTATCTTCCATGCGTCCATGATTTCAAGGCGTTTTATTTTGAGAAGATTGAATCATCCATTTTCGTTTTCAATACTTTTGTTGTTTGGTACCTTTGTGCGGGCTCTACAAAAGGGAAATAACTTGGTACACGAATTTTGTGATCAGACCTTTTTGCAGATTCGTACAAGTTTCGCTGTAAGACTGGCGTACTCGTGCGAGGAACAGCCTGAGGTGTGTTCTCTTAATTCTGTGACAAAACTTTTCCCTCGTCAGGTTGTTCTTTCATCCTGGTTGTTTTTGTTTGAGTGATGTGCGATCATTCCATTCGTTGGTTTGGAATTCTCACAGTTACGTGGGCCCGATAATCCGATCCTTACTTGTGGGCAGTTCATCTAGACTTTCCTAGAAACCTAATGTTTCAGATCGTGATTTCTTCGAAGATAAAACTTAAAAACCTCCACTTAGGTGGTTTCCCGGTTCTGTGATGCCTCCCTCCTCGGTAGCGTGATGCATTTCTCCTTGAATTGAAATCTTCCACCCTTGTCAATCTCGTTTTTGGTTTCTCTCATTCACTCTTCGAGCAGCCGGAAAATGGAGGAAATTGAAGGGGTATTCTTCGATGGAAAAGGTCTCGAACGGCATAGGCTGCTGAACAAGCAACAGACAGGAAGTTTCCAATAGTTTCGTGTACAGAATTCATCCCCAATGGCTTCTCCTTACCCATATCCTAAACAGGTTTCGCGCTGAAGAGTTGATCTGTATGTCTGACCTTCCGAAGCACTATCATATTTTCGAACCGTTCCTAGGGGAGCAATTAATGCGTTAATGATAAGTTAACAATTAGCTTGAGTGCAGATTATTGAGTTGTTTCAGGATTCTTTTCAAAATAAGGTTTTATAACCATTTTCCCCGCAGGTGTATGGAGGTTCACTCAAGGAAGTTGAGTTTCGCATCAGTTCGACTGAACGACCTCTCTGACGACTATGGCTTCGGTGACGATCTTGATTTAACTATTGTTGACGACGAAGCGGTGGAGGAAGCTCAAGAAGCCGGCTCTGCAGTGGTGCGCTTTCATTTCTTTTATGTCCCATTATAAGTAAGTGCGCTGTTCGAATTCACTCTGTTCATGCTTTTACTTCGCGCGAGTTCTCTCTTAGTGTGTAAATTAACATTTCCCCCACCTTAATGTTTACTTGTTCACATTTCCTGTTGTGTTGCTGCTATCAAGTAAGTGCTCAAATTATTTCGAGATCTGGATTTTTTACCTCGCGTAGAAAAATGGCACCATCCACTTATTTTTGTGGTTGATGGATGGTGCTCTTTTTTCGTTCGACGATTATTTAATCGAACGAAGTCATCCTTCGTTTTGGGAAGTAGTGCTTTCACAGTGCTTCAAGAATCCTGTAAAACTCATTCTCTTCAGAAAATGAGAGTAATGTAAGAAAAGCCTATCTGCTACTCAAAACATCGAGCTTTTTTTCCGATCTAATGGTAAAATTAATCGATTTTTTTTTTGAAGAAGGAATTGAGAGATTTTTTTACATTATGATTCAACACATCAGGCTTAACGCTGAGAATGAATGAAAGTGCCAATTTTAGGCCGCACATTTCCCAGCAAACATTACGAATAGGGCGATGCCTTCTTCGCGTCCTGACTTAACAGCGGAGCAGTCGATGAAAAGCCATTCATTATAGAATCACGTGTGAATTTATTAGTTTCATACCTAAATTCATTCCTTAATGTCAAGAACATGGAAGGAAAACATTTAACTCGAATTATTTTGATTTACCACTTGTTAGGGTTGACTAGAGATGCTAACCATCTTTTCCTTTGCTTTGCTATCTCTTTCATCCCAATGTTTACTCCTTTGAGTTTTACCGCAGTGCGATATACCTTAAAAATTTTTTGTTTTTTGAACTGCATCGATATTTTGTCGATCTGAACCTCTCTAACAAGTAGCCAAAAAAGACAGATTTCGATGGCAGTGAGACTAATTCTTCGTAAATCGGGCTGACTTAGCGAAACAGCCAGTCAACTTCTCCCTGTCTTGCCCAAAATTATTTTTCGTTGAGTCGCATATGTTTCTTGGTCGTCTGGCTTCTTTTTTATTTCATTGGGTTGTGTTGTATCACCAATTCCTTCGCACGAAGAAATTTGTCGTGCAGTGGCCAGCCAGTTGGATCAACTTGCTGCCACCGTTGCAGAGTTCCCCAGGCGAATCGCAAGAAACAACTTCGGCGATTACGTAACGTTGACCTTTACGACCCTACTTTATCGAGGGTTCTAAAAAGAGTGCTTTACAAGAAGGATATGCTTTCGGTAGAAATGTTCCGCCCACAAACATGGTGTTTCCCGTGGTCACCGTCACCGCATCAGGGTTATTTCACACTGGTTAGAGCGGATTACGCTGCTAAGGTGCGAAAGTAGAGGTAAATGTCGCCTCATTGTCAAAAGCTGCTGATTTGCCTCTTGTCTATGGGAAATTCTCTGCTGCGCAGTCACCAGTCTGACACCTTTCAACAAGAAGGGGCATTCAGAAGTTAGCGCTCGTTGAAATCATTTTATTCCGATTCTCCTTCCCCGCCCTGCACATTCCACATACGGTCTTATGACCCGGGCATGTACTCGTAAGTAATAGGGCAAGTTGCCAAATTGTGACAGCTAAACATTTCGTGAACAGCAAAAGAAGACACTCGTTACCACCACTGGTTCTGTATCATAGATGTCTCGCGCTTTTCTGACAATTTTTATCTCTGTTGTTGCACTCTTTTACACCAGTAGATGGTTAATCCATCCTTTGGGTGTGCTGCACCCGTTACCAGGTTATTTTGGTCATTGTGCACTTCTATTTGCTCGTCGAATGCACGGCCCTTCGACCAACGGTTTATTTTAGGTCAAGTGCAGTGCAAATTTAGAATTTCGACCTTTGGTCTTCCCAAACGATCTCGGTATGTAAAGTATGTTTATGTGTAAAGCCGCGGGATGTGCAGGCCTGATGAATTGCTCATCCTAAGAAAGTTCTTTTTTATGAAAGAATAGAGGGAAAGAGCTGAACATTTTCGAATTACTCGCAGCTAATCTGATAAGCGCTTGTTGAACAGGCAAAAGCAGCGTGATTATCTTGTCCATTCATGGAATATAGGCAAAGTTTTTGCCAAAAAANAAAAAAACATGCCGAAACGGAATGGAAAGAGAAATCGTTGTCTCTTTCGTTTCACTTTCGGCATATGATCTGCATTCATTCAACGACCGACAGAACGGAGCAAATTGCGGTGTGCGGTCTTGGCACATCACGCTTGATTCATTTGATAAGTAGAAAAGTAGTTTTGGAGTTAATATGGCGTTATAGTTGTCTGGTTACGTCGTTGAAATTCGACCTGCGATGGTTTGTGGTCGCACAGTTTCGGCGGAGGGCAGCAACTACGAGTCAACTAAGCCCTGTTTATTTGTGGTCGTGACGCCGTGTCATGTTGCTCAGCGTAGAACTGCTCCTTGGCACAGCTAGTTGTCTGCATTGAAAGCTGTAGTTACATAGTTAGATGACCTCTGCGATGCACAAGCAGAGATTATAGGTGTTTACGAGCTCGTCGCGACCATCAACCATCAGTAGTAGGCCACGTAGTAAATAGGTCGTCGTAAAATGAGTACTGAAGATGTCTTATCGCTGCTTTCTAGCCATTTTTGCAGACTTTATACCTAGATTTGCCAACATAAGTTATGAAATTAGGGGACATTGTACGTGTTGGTTAGTAAGAGGACTAGGAGGAAGGGCTACACAACAGAATAAGGGAAAGGGAACGAATGAACCATAGCGATTCTGGTTTTCCTTCAGCACGCCTAATGTATTTATGTGTGATTTGGCCTGCTAAATAGGGAAGATTTATGTTGTGTTTAATCAATTGACTAATGCCATTATTTTGCTTGACCGAGCACTGGAAGTCCCTTTTTTATCAGTCTAAGGAAATGGACGCTTGGCAAGAAAAGGGGCTTCGTGTGTTCGTGCCCTTTTCCCCTTGGCAAGGGTAGGCAATTGAGTATGGATTACTCCGCAGCGGCTTCTGCACGTTCTTCTCGTTAAGGCCTACGCATAATGGCTCGCATAAACCGTCAATTACGTAGAATTAGCATGATTCCGTAATCTTTTCCTCTGTACAAATTCACCTATCGCTTTAATTGTTTTCTAAAGTGCCTTCACATGGCCTTAATTGCTTCTGTGTGTGCTACGCTTTCTTCAGCGGAAGGGCGTTGTTTTCCGCCCATAAATATCGATTCGAATAACATCTCTCAAAAAGGCCCAGCCGCAACATTTTGTGCTATTGCAAGGTTATTCACGCAAGTCGACCCTTCAAGCAGTTCAATTTCTAGAGTTTCTGCTTGTTTGCATATATTATGGAGTCTTTTTTTATTGTCAGTTCCCACAGGTTTCTCGAAACGGTGACGCGTGAAATGCTGATAACTTCAAAAGTCCGCTCGCGAAAGCGCCAACCTCCTGCTCCATATCACACTCTAAGACGATATCAGAAGAAACGATCTTTAATTGCTGCAACCGTTGGTCTAGAGCGTGTTAGCGTTGACCTACCTTACCGCGATCAAAGAACCCCAGGCCGTTCTGCGCTAGGGAGTGCCTTTGTAGTAAAGGGCGTTGGCCGGCTGTTTATTTCATGCCTCATCAGTTGTCATAACTTTAGATTATTCACCGTCCATGTTCCTGTCTTATTCGACTTAATGCTCTTCAATGCAGGCGATATTGTGATTTTAGTAGGTTTCCTCTGCCCTTATCAGTTTTTTTTTCAGTAGTTAACACTTCCTACACTTCGCTAGCATTTCCTCTCGCGCTGCCTGTATTATTTATCTGTTAGTGAAAACGCTTCGGCGAGATAACGGTGCCGGAATAGATTAGGTGAATCTGGTCTCCTAACGTTCCATTTGGCTTGCTTCATTTTCTGTCACATACTTTTTTAACTATATACAACTTTACTTCGTCATTTTTATCCTTTTTGTTAGATATCCTTGCTTTCTTCCGTAGGTTTCAATGTTCGCTCTGCAACAGACGTTGAATCCAAGGCTTCCAACATATTTTTTCAGATTGAATACGTACATAATTACTCTTGTCTCATATCATTGTTGTTCTTGTGCAAATTATGACGACGAATTTATCAGACTCGGAAAAAGTTCTGACCTTAGTTCGCTCCGCTCATGATCTGAGATATGTTTTTCTGTTTTTTGTGGAGGACGGAAAAATTTTTATTTGTTACATTTTGGTGAGCTTCTTTTTCTTGTTCTTTTTCTTCTTTGTTCCATATTGCTTAAAAACTGCATGTCCAAATTTTAGCTGTATTTATGTTTTGAGGTCTCATTTAATCTCTTTTCACTTTGATGCGGTGAATTCCTTTGCAGTGTCTCTTCACCGCTGCATTCTTTGAAAACGTTGAATGGCGTATCCGAATTGATTTATTGACATACTTTCTTTTGCGGCCACATTTTATCCCAGCTGTGGCTAAAGATTTCGGTTCATATTTCGTGCCACTAGTTCCGTGAGGCGTCCCCATATGTCACAGCAGTGTCATTTGGCTTTTGAGGTTTGGCCTTTTGTTGTGAAGCCGCATCCGCAGACAAGGGCGCCTCTTTTGGATTTGAGGCCTCAACGAACTTCTCTGAAGTGACCTTGGCAATCTATCTTCAATCAGTGTAGGCTATTTATATTCCCCGCCAGGTTTAGTTTTATGATGACAGCGTGTAATGTGTTGAAAACTGGTTTGCTCGTCTCTACAAAAGTCTTTCGGCCCGCTTTTGCAATCTCTGCAGTTGTGACTCAACTTCGATTTACATTGTTCTCGGTTCTTCCGTCGATCTGTTGTCGTGTTTATCACTAACGCAGTTTATCACTCGCCGGCTGTTAGTCTCACGGGAATTCTCCTCGGTCCCCTTTTCTTAAACAGTTGGTATTTGAAAGTGACGTTTGTTGTCTAATTGATGTTTGAGCTCATGTTTCCAATGACGATTTGCTTTCTTTGCTTTTTCTCCCATTAATGATGTTCATTACTATCGGCGATGCGAAACCTTTGCATGAAGTTGTGAAGAAAGTCGATAAATAGGGTTGAATTTTTTAATTTGAACTGAAAGCTTTCCCAGCTTGCCAACCCTTTCTCTACACTATGAGGTTTATTTTCCATCAGAATCCGTTAGCTCGCCAAATACTCGTTTCCGCAATCACGTATTCAAATGGTCCAAAGGTCGAGTGCATGGCTTATTCTACTCGATAATCTTCTGTCGACGAGGATTTGTGCTCTATTTGTACAGTTGAAATCTACTGATGATTTTCTTTTATCATGCTCGCCCATTCCGACTCGGAGTGTTCGGGGAAATGGATTTATAGAGGGTTGATCATTGATCGGTCTCGATCGTTCTGCTCATTTTGCATCCCACTCCTGTCCCTCCTACATATGACGCACTCCCGATGTGTCATGTTGCGCCCATCGCTGAATCGTGTGTTCGATTTTTCCTAATCAGTTCTGTAGGATTTTTCGTTGCCCACAGTTCTTCTGACTTGTGGACATGGAAGTTTTTTACGGCTTAGTACGGT